GCCGACGGCCAGAAAGGCCCGCGCATCTACATTTTCCCGCCTGACCCCATCAGTGCCGACCCAACTCCACCACCACACGCACGCCTCGCGGCGGATGCGCAGCAGCAAGAAGGTTTCGGTCATCCCTTGAGGGTGAGTCTAGCCCTGCTCGCCAGAAAGACCCCCCCCTTCGCTACAACCCATGTCTAAGCAAAAGCTTGTCGACAAGCAGGACATGGGAGGGATATATAGACTCGTCATCCCCAGCCGCGGAGGCCCTAATTGCGCCGCCGGTCGTGTCGAGTGCTGTACTGCTGAACCACCACCATCAACAACAACCCCCAGAGAAGTCAACATGGGGCGACCGAGGGCGACTGGCACGAGTCCCATCCCCAGCGTCGCGACCCTGTCCTTTGGGCTCGCCATTTCGTGCTTCTTTACGTCAGTGTTCTCCTTCGTTCCCAGCACCTTCGGCGGTCGGGTGCAACCTCGCACGGCAGCAGCAGCAGCCGGACGACATACAACAGCAGCAGCTAGGAGAGCTCGAACAGGCACCAGCATGGTTGCCACGGAGCCTGCTGCTGGGCTGCTGAAGACTGTGACGGTTGATCTCGGAGACCGCTCGTACCCGATCTACATCGGGGATGGCATCTTGGACAGGTGCGCCTCCTGGGTTGTACTCGCTCGATAGTTCGCGCACTCACAGCAGGACACCAGGTGTACATGTACCCACGGTTGTTCAAGCTCGACAGCAAGTAGTGCCATGGTACTGATTCGCGGCAACAGATTTCGTTGTTCCGTATCTAGTCTGCGCGAGCGAAGTGAAGTCCATAGCTGTGTTGTAGGTACGGACTCGCGAGCGTGTTTCTCCCCTACGAAACTTTGAACAGTGGCTTCATGTGCAACAGGTACCCGTGTCACCCGAGCGCTCATCCCGCGTATTCCAGCACCGTGGTGGTACCACATTTAGTCTAGTCTGCCCTTAGTTGTATGCATACAGGTCACAACAACCGTCGGTGTGAACGCGGTTGGTCGACGAAGTTCAGGTGTCGGTCACAGACTCTACATTGTGTGCGGCGACGGGCCTACTAGGGCAGCCGACACGCCGCGAAGGGTCTGCGTGGTTGCTGATCCTTACTGCGGGCGCATCAGGCACCAGGCATACAGAACGCGCCATGAACCACTCCACATTACTAGCACAATCTTGAATATCTTGACCAAAGAAGAGCAGGTGCTCACTTAAGAACCCTACACTATCACCTATAGAGTCGATTTTGGGTTACCTGCCCTGCAGAGGAAACAGAGAACCGAGCCTCTGGGGCAAGCAAAGAGGCTCTTCAGCTGTGGCGCCGGGCCCTGTGACAACAGCAGCCAGCTCCCAATGTACAAGCCCATGTCCAGTGTGTAACCCAGAGTGACGTACAGCGCCTTGCCCAAGCGCAAGCCGAACATGCCCAGAGGCTTGCGCCTATCAAGTAGCGGCCTTTCCACAACGATCGACGTTGTGTGTAAGGTACACGGAAGCAGCAGCCTTTTGGTGCTTTGGAGTCTTGTCGTGTTTTACGGGGTAACTTCGCTGGTACTGGGTAAATTCAGTCAAGTTCTGTGCGGAGCACACGCCTGAAAGAATCCGTCTTTCAACGTTGTTTGACAAGAAAGCGTAATCCCTTACTTCATAGCAGAAACGGCCTTAGCTCGTACATGCCTTGCCGCCTTCTCACCCGACAAGACACCCCGTGCGTCTTCTCCTCTCTCACCCCCCGCCTCCGGCTCGCACATGACCCGTAACTCCAACTGGCTCAGTGGAGATCTACTGCGCCGCCATGTGACGTCCAAGAAGGCTCTGGTTATCACCAATGACAAGGTTGGCCCCCTCTACCTGGACAAGACTGTCAAGGTGCGGCTTGTCGGTGCTGAAGTCACAGGTCAACGTTCTGACGATACTAGCTAGGCTGACCTCCCTCGGGCCGTCTACATAGTTCGCGTTCGTGCTGATTCGGGACAATTTCTGGTCATCCTTTCTCAGGTTGCTTGCCCCCTCGAACTGAAACCACGCTTTGTGGGCAACAGACACCGCCCTTTTTGCACACACACACCCGAGTGCGAAAACTGGGTTAATGTAGTTGCGGAGTGTTGGTTGTGCAAGGAGAGGGAAGTGTACATGACTGAACGGATAAAAGGAAGGTACAGGGAGATGTTTGAGGCATGGAATAACGAGAAAAAGACGATAGCCGAACTGAGGCATAGGAAGTGGGTTGAGAAGGCAGGAAGTGATATCTATGGGATAGATCGACTAGGGAAGACATTTTGAGCCACCTTTGGCAAAGAAGGAAGGAACGATTGGCCATCGGTGATCGGTCCTGTGGCAACAATGCTCCGTCCTCTCCAGGACGCGTGGTCAATGGTCTAACTGCTAAGGCATGCAAAACATAAGAGTACGCCCCCCCCCCACCCGACCCCCTATTAAGCTGTCAAAACCCGGGAAACATGGATATAGTGAAGCTGTTTGTACACAACAGTATTCAACAGACAGAGATGCCATTCCCCCCCCCGCTCTCGCTGCATTCTGCGCCTCCTCCCACGTCCCCACCCAACGGCGAAAAACGACAAGATTCTTGAGGCCGGCGGCGTGGAGGTTGAAACCGTCGTCCTGCCGGACGGAGAGGAGTTCAAGAGCCTGGAAGTCCTCACCAAGATCCTGGACAAGGCCCTGTCGGCACGGCTCGACCGAAAGACGACGTTCGTGGCCCTGGGCGGAGGGGTGATCGGGGACATGGTGGGGTTTGCGGCCGCGATCTACCAGAGGGGGGTCAAGTTCGTGCAGGTGTAGTATTGTTCCCCTGTCCAGCTGTTGCATCGTCTTACGGCGGATGAGGGAGGGGGTACTCTCCCCGTTGTTGCCCTAGTGTGATTTGACCGTCGGTGTGTTTCGCGCAGGACACGGAGTCGGGGTAGGTCAGGTGGATAGAACGTGCGAATGTTGCAATATTGTAGCATTCGGAGTACGTTGTTGAGGGAATTTGGGTTGGGTGTGTTGAAAGTCTTCCGTGGAGGGAGAGAAGTGAGAGAGGCTTTGCCTGATCGAATGCTAATCAGGTCTCGGGGGATTTTGGAGGGCTTTCCGCGGACATAGGAGTAATGGGAGCTTGGATTGTGCAGGTGACACTCATGACGAGCTGCATGATTGTTGCTCAAGTGAAACCTAAGGAATGTCGTTGCAGTGTCTTGGTGTCCGCGGGACTTGTTCGTGTTTTGAGCCCACCGGGATCCATCTCGCATTGCGAGCTGCGCGGCCTCGAGAAACACGTGGATTCCTCTCTCGGGCACGACACTGCGCAGGCCGTGTGTTGTTGCAATATGCACTAGTCTTTTCCCACTGTCGATCGGTTTACGGTAGTGTCGTGGATGCCCACGATGCATAAGGCGCCCACCTCTCGGCAACGTACTACAATCGTCTCCGCTTCAACTACACTCACGGTTCTCTTCAAACGTAATGGTGTCCTTACAGCGAGAAGTTGCCCGTAAAATGTTAATACCCCCCTGTTGTTTTATCATTCTGCGGCGACCCATGCCCCTTAAAATATCGGTATCCTTGAGGCGGCGACAACTTACGGCATTCACGACACCATCGTCCTTCTCGTCATTGCTTTGAGCAGGTTCCCACGACCCTGATGGCTATGGTAGACTCGGCGGTCGGCGGGAAGACCGCAGTTAACCACCCTCTGGGCAAGAACATGATCGGCGCTTTCTACCAGCCGCAGGCGGTGCTGGCCGACATGGGCACCCTCAAGAGCCTCCCTGACAGAGAGTTGGTGAGATTCGCCACCTCGAGATGAGCAGCAGGGGAGCATGGTCTCGTGCGTCGGGGGGGGGGGGGGGGGGGG